TGTGGGTGCACATTGCATTGTCTGCTGTGGCAGACACGGTTGCCCAATAACAGTGACAGATGCAAACAGAATCAGGTGAACATATCGTTTTCTGGCAAAGGAGTGAACAGTGTTGGCTTAACACTCTAAAGCACCATGCTCCCTCTGCACTTATTAACTAGTTTTCTCTTGACGTTTGGAGATTCATAAAACAAATATTTAATTCATACAATAACTAGCGTACACTTTTAGAAACCGTTGTTAAAATATTTAATGTGAAGACAAAATGATGTGTATAGTGCATTGCATGCAGTATAAAAGTTATACTCCCTCCCTGCATTAGTTGTGGTGCAAGGTATTAGCCGTACGTGGGCCTAGGTCACTAACTGGCAGTGATATTTTATAATATATGCTAATTTATCAGGCCCCTACTTATTAAATAAAAGACAGTTTACAAAATGGAGGAAAGCAGGGAAGGCTTGGAGTGAGTGCGTGAAGGGAGGGAAGATCAAGCTTCCCCTTGTAGGTGCAATGCCTGTGCGTGCTGACGACAGATGTATTTTTTTGCACTGAACTGACATTGCTTAGCCCAGAACAAATATCTGGGCTGCCTAAAGCATGTGAGCTGGGGTGCAACTAGCCCCAAGCACAAAAGGTGAAAATATCTGTGTACTTGAAGTGTTTCAAGCACATAAACAGACGCTGCACATACAGACTCCTACCATCACGAGCACCTCTAAAGCAGAAGTGGTTATGGTGGTTGGAGTAAATCTTTAACAAAGGGGTCCCTAAATATTAAACTTGTAAAGAGCACATCTAACTTAGTATGTATGCATGAGATTTAGTGAACGTACAGCAGAGGTGACTAAAGTAAGATATGAATCCAGCAGAGGTTTATGGGATATGTAGTTTAGCTTGCAGCCAAATGTCCTCTCATCACATTTGAGTGGAACTGCTGAATAATTCGATATCAGCCATACTGTGACTGCTATCAGCCATGCCACACTTTCAAACTATTTTGCCACAACTGTGTCTACTAACAGCTTTTAGTATTAAATTCTCCCTTCCTCCATATACACAACTATTGAACACGTTATTATTACTATGAATTAATTTTCTGAGCTACATAGCAATGTATATGATATTATTCTGTTCTCTCTTCACATATACCTCTCAACCTGCTGGGATTTCATATAAAACACGTCTGTATTTAAATGTATTTTCCTTAAGGGCTCTGAGTATTTTAAACCAGGATATGTTTGCACTCTATATAAATATACAAAATCTATATTGAAAGAGCTATTTAAATCAGAGCATATCTTTGTTCTTCAAAGAAACACTCTAAGTATCATAACCACAACAGTTTGACGTCTCACCTGGGATCCGCCAGAAGCTCTCTACCTGAGATGAGCACGGCAATGCACGGCTTAGCTCATTGGCTAACAGCAATCAGCTGACAATCTCAGTTAATAAGATATCCCTGCACTATCTTCCTTAGCTCATGAGAGCTAATAGAGAGACTCCTAAGCCGGAGCTTCCGGATCTCAGAGTTAAAGAGAGGAGGAGGAGTTTGACTACTTAAAGGGGAAGGGATGGGAGAGGGCACTCCTGACACTGTGGTGCTTCGATGTTTGACGTGTTACTTTAAAAATACATGAAACTTTTTTATTGAGTATGCATAAAGGCAAAAGGAAATGTTTAGTCTGAGAACTAGTCTAGTCGACATATATGTTGAGAAACACATGTAAACGAATGTTTTAACCCCTTAAGGACCAAACTTCTGGAATAAAAGGGAATCATGACATGTCCTGTGTCCTTGAGGGGTTAAATAAGTTCTAAAAAGTACAGTCATGATCACCTAGGGTCAGTCATTGCTACCTACAGTCTGGCTGATTTTTACACAGCTGAGATCCCAGGAATTAGAGTCACAAAAATACAAGGGGCGTCAATCCACGGGTAACTATTGTGACTCGTCCAACGTATCTGTGGACACCAGGAAACTTTTAATACCATATTAACTCCTGATTATTCAATGCTTCTATTCCTTTAGTCAGCATTATTTATAGCATTGCACTAAGATGATTTGTTGACATGAATGTTACCTATCAATAAGTAGAAAGCATTTTGTATGCTGATTATGCTCATCACATGCTTTGGATTTGTTTTTTTAACTACAAGAAAAACACATCTCGAGAAGGTTCAATGATCTGTAATTTATCCTGTGGATAAGAAGGGATGTGATAGGAACAGGGAATTTAAAATGAATCACAAATTACAGGAAATGTAGCATAGCAGTATTTTTCAAGTTTGGATACTTTGGCCTTAAATTTGAAAATTCTCACTTTAGTGAATAGTCGCCAACATAAAGAGATCGTAGTGGAAACGGGAAGAGTTTTTAATAAAGAAGTTATTGTTTTAACAAAACATGACTTGATGTTGAGACTATCCACAAAGAGGTGGGGTTTGCACACAGTATGGTTTATTAATCCAATTAAATCATAATCTGTGGCAAACCTCATTACACAATGCTAATCCATCCGGGCACTCAACAATCGTTTATAACTAGGCTTTAAATTTGACCAACCAATAGTTTGTTTTTTTCCCTTTATCTGTTGTTAAACGATCACTTTGTTGGTAGTTGTACCACGTTTGGCCTAACCACAATCATGTTGGCACTTAGGAAAATCGAGGAAGACATAGAAGTGGAAGAGAGATCGACAGACACATATCAGTGGCAGGAGGATGCAGGAAGAATGAGAGACAGAGTGAGGATGGAGGGAGACAAGTGTACAATGGGAGATGGAGAGTAATACAAGTTGTGACTGAGAGAGATAGATGTGTGGGCAATGAGAGGTGTATGTGATGTCAAAAGACATGGGTCAATGAAATGAAGAGTGCTAAATGAATGGGGTGGGATGTTAGGGGGAATAGGAGATTAACAGGAATATAGTGGGAATAATGCACACTTGAATCACACAAAATCTCCTGAATTCTCACATGTAAAATATACTCTCACACATTGAAACTATATACAAATACATTTCTGCATTTACTAATGCTGACACAACATACAGTACATGTACAGCCCCATATTACATGCCAACAATCCACAAAAACACACTCACTGACACTTCACACAAACTCCACCTGTGCACTCACACTGACACTCCACACCAGTACATCAATGTATTCAAACTCTGACACTACACACCAGTACAACAATGTATTCACACACTGACACTCCACACCAGTATAACAATGTATTTACACACTGACACTCCACACCAGTACTACAATGCATTCACACACTGACACTCCACACCAGTATAACAATGTATTCACACACTGACACTCCACACCAGTACAGCAATGTATTCACACACTGACACTCCACACCAGTATAACAATGTATTCACACACTGACACGCCACACCAGTACAACAATGTATTCACACACTGACACTCCACACCAGTATAACAATGTATTTACACACTGACACTCCACACCAGTATAACAATGTATTCACACACTGATACTCCACACCAGTACAATGTATTCACACACTGACACTCCACACCAGTACTACAATGCATTCACACACTGATACTCCACACCAGTACAACAATGTATTCACACACTGACACTCCACACCAGTACAGCAATGTATTCACACACTGACACTCCACACCAGTACAACAATGTATTCACACACTGACACTCCACACCAGTACAACAATGTATTCACACACTGACACTCCACACCAGTACAGCAATGTATTCACACACTGACACTCCACACCAGTACAGCAATGTATTCACACACTGACACTCCACACCAGTACAACAATGTATTCACACACTGACACTCCACACCAGTACAACAATGTATTCACACACTGACACTCCACACCAGTACAACAATGTATTTACACACTTACACTCCACACCAGTATAACAATGTATTCACACACTGACACTCCACACCAGTATAACAATGTATTTACACACTGACACTCCACACCAGTATAACAATGTATTTACACACTGACACTCCACACCAGTACAACAATGCATCCACACACTGACACTCCACACCAGTACAACAATGCATCCACACACTGACACTCCACACCAGTACAACAATGCATTCACACACTGACACTCCACTCCAGTACAACAATGCATTCACACACTGACAACCAGCAGATTACATTCACAACCACCGACAAACAATACAAATAAAACCTTGCATTTCCACTCACTGGCTGACCACACAGATAAAGCATACCTTCACAATTACTAACAAATCACACGAGGAATAAAAACATACTTTTACACACAAAGGCACAACACACAAATAAATATATTTGTCCATTCTTAGCTAGACCCTACACACAAACTCACACCATTTCTGATTCGATTTATACTGTCAGGGGTATTCACCAACACATTACAGGGAATTGAACTTTTTAAACCTAAATAGTTGAATGTAGAGAACTCTCCCTCTCAGTTATTTTGTGCTAATATTTGCAATCCCCTGGTCCACCCCTGACACTGCCTGGGTGAGTAACTAACCAGATGCTGCACATTCAGCTCCCACCATACTTAGCAGGGGCTCACATTACTGACACAGAGACTTCCTTCAGGGAAAGCTAACCTTTGCAACCCAGATGTTGCTGAAAAACATTTCCCATGATGTACACCCAGCCTTCATCAAAGGAAATGCAGCTCAGACAAAAAAATAAAAAATGTAAAGAATAAAATAATTAAATAATAATAATAAAAAAATACTATATATATAAATATATCTGGGTGCCTAGATCAGCCATGGAAAGCTTGTGGGTCACGTGACGGTCAGTTATGCCGAGCGGCACTGAGAAGGTTAATTCCCAGATTCATTCCAATAACCCCGAGAGCGTCGCCAGCCAATCAGCGGTCGCTTTCACTTTAGCCCATCCCCTCTGGGCACCCTGCGCTCCTTCCCCATTGGCTGAGGCGCGCCGTTCTTGTCGGTCTGCGTGCGGGCCACGCCCACTTCGAATCCCCTTGTTGGGAGCTGAGACTAGAAGGTTCTGTTGGCGCCGGTTCAGTCGATACTAAGGAGTGGATACGGTAACTGGTCCAGCAATACACACAGGGAACAAACCGGAGCGACATGGCCAACTTTAACAAGGGACCGGCCTACGGGCTCTCCGCCGAGGTCAAGAACAAGGTGAGCTCACTGGAACCGTTACTCAGGGCATCTCGCAGCTTTAGTACATTGGGTCACAGACTTCGCCTCTATCTCGCCATATGACGACGACATATGGTGCAGTAATTCCAATTCTCTCCTATGGCTGTCTCTGGGACCATTGTGTGTCCATATGGAGTGTCTATGGATGGTCCCACTTTCTTTTCTAGCTGGAGACAGAATTTATCCCGATAGTTCAATCAGACTGCTAAATGGAATTTATCCAGATAGTTCTATCAGACTGCTAAATGACTCTACAAATAGTATTAGAACTCTATGGATGTATCCATCACTCCAGAGGGTTCTAACAGTCTGTCTATAGAGTCTTAGAATTCTGAACCCACTGTTCCTTTTTTTTTTTTTTTTTAATCCAATCCTGAGTTTAGATATTTGCTTCTATTAGTGTTTTCATTCCCTAAGTAGACATAACTTTGTTTTATAGTTTGAGTAAAATATCTAGAATACTCCATACACACCAATGTTTATATATTATTTTTTTTTCACCCCAAAAATTACATTATTACTTTTTATGCTTTTTCTCTGTGCAGTTAAAATAATTTATTTTACACTCATTGTCTGTCTGATCACCCAGGGCCTTTTCTGGGAAGGCCCTCTTTGGACTGCACCCTTTCCTCATGCTGGGTTACATGCCATCATTTAGCTGATGTGGCAGTGCTGTTTGTTTCTGCTTTAATAATTCGTGTTAATTTGTTCACAATAGATGACGTTTGGTATTGTTTTCCTTTTTACTGATAGCTACAGAAACTGCTGACCAGCATTCTGCCAAGAGAGATTTATAGAACAGTGAAAGTACTGTGAGGAATGACTTTTATTGTGTCCTCAGAATGCATTCATTTTTTAAATATTTTTTTTTTTTTTTTTTATGCCAAAGCTTATTTAAGGAATTTGTCCATAGCTATTTGGCTGTCATATTGTAATGCAGATAATATGTACTCTTATAAAAATCCATAAGTCATATCCCGCATTATTTAAGCAAATTAAGGCATTGTACGGCGCTACAGAATTTGATGACGCTATATAAATAATATAATAATAATACTATTGTCACTGTATACAACCATGGTTACATTGTGTTTGTGGTACCCACTGGACATTACAATTTCAGAGTGTATAATATTCAGCAGTGCGGATCCTGGAACAGTGAAGATGGCTCTCACTAAGTGGTTGCCTCTGGCAAGGATTGCGAACAATGAATATCGTGACCCCCAGGTGGCCTGCGGAGCTGAGCTGCACAGTAGGTTGTTACAGAAATGCACATCAGGATATTGCTTAATGCAATTCGTCAATTAAACAGCTGTGTGTGCGTCACTTTATTGACTCTTCATCGGAACTATCCTTCTAAATTACTGATGGACCTGCATCTTCCATTTAATTTAATCTTTGCTTTGTACAAGGAAACCCAGGAGCATGGTGTTATTGTCCTGTCTGGTGGATGTTAATTAGCCTTGCCTCCATGGTCTGGGAAAATTCATATGGGGGGAAAAAAAAAATCTCTTCTCATGGCTCTCCGCCCCTTCCCCCACCACATTCCAGGGGCATTACCTCATGGCTTCTGGGAAGGGGAACATCCAATGGTGTGGGCTCCGCTTACAGAATACTCATTGTCTGCTTCTAAATTCTCCAGCCAAGCTACAGAGGCACAAAGACTTGCTGCTGGTTTTTACATTTCAATAACCCCTTCAGGGATTTTTTTTTTTTTTTTTAGTTTTTTTTCCTTTAACTTTCCTCACACTTAAGTTGTGATAAAAATGTTTAAAGCATAGGCTGCTGCCAGCCATTCACTCCTCTATTTCCAGTTATTTGCAAGATCATATTGTCCGGTTTAACTGGTTTGTTGAATGAACAAAGATTAACTTCCTTGGCTTAATTCTGAAGGTCTGTTAAAATGATGCATTCATGACTGTTTGGAAAACGTAATCCATTCAGGAGTTAATGCCTATTGTAGTGTTTTATTTTTTATATTATATTTTTTTGTAAAGAAAATATATTAGTCTTTTGCTGTTTGTTCACACTGCTTCACTGCTGTTTAGATTAGATTAAACCCGCTTCACAGACTTTGCAATGGATGCAATATGACGTTTATGCAATTGCAATGGATGCAATATGAATAAAGCCTCAAAGCTTCTTCAAGCTACGCAGTGAAATATTGTAGGCTTCTGGCCCTCCTATTTTAATTTTGATACTAGGGTTTTATTTTTGGGAAATGTAAGAATGCAGTGCCTTATCACCCCTCGTTCCGAAAGACCCAAAGAAACAATGAAACTGTGCTAGCTTTATATTTTCCAGTAACCCCTGTGCAGCTTTTTCTAATGTAGATTGATAAACTGCACGAAGTATGGGTCTGCCCCCAGGCTTTTCTATGTTGAATGCAATTCTGCTTTCGCAAGTCAATAAAGGCTTCCGGCAGTTTCAATTCACTTTCTAAGTAGGATTATTTTCCTTTCATTTTTGATTTCCCACAAAGTCAGTGGAGAAGCTGTGATGTTTGTGCACATACACGTCACTAAGCTTGCATGTGACATACATGTGCATACTCTGCAATCTTACCGTAGATTGGACAAAGGTTGGTAGTCACAGCCATTTCTTTGTTGAAAGCTCTAGAGCAGGGATAGGCAACCTTCAGCACTCCAGATGTTGTTGACTACATCCCCCATGATGCTCTTACACCCATAATGCTGGCAAAGCATCATGGGAGGTGTAGTCTAAAACATCTGTAGTGTCGAAGGTTGCCTATGCCTGCTCTAGAGGCATAACAGATGTTGGAAAAAATTAACTTGGTAAGCACGTGTTACCTCTGCAGTGTATTTATAAATGGTGGTGGTGCTTGGGGGAAAATACATTCTAAGACGGGTAAGGGGCTTTTAAAATTTATTTTAAATTCATGTTTGCCCCTTCACAGGTCGCTGATGTTGATGACCTTTCCAGTGTGCAATTAACTGCACTCAATCCTATCAAAATTAACTTAATTTTGAACCTATGGCTCTTCTGCGACTGCAGAAATTAGAAAAATGTACTGGATACAAGTGTACATGGATACAATAATTATGGGATGGGCTTTTAGAGATGTATATCTCTTTAAACCCTGCACTGGACCTGTGAAGTGTCAGTGTGAAGCATTCAGATTTTGTTGGTCAGTTATTCAATGATGCCTAATGTGTGTGTTTGGGACACCCTTTGTGCATTGCCCACAAATCAAAGTTCTGCTATTGCACTAGGGGGCAGAGAATGTAACCTGCTACCTCTAAATGGGGGTCACGATGGATACATGTCAGTGTTACTCAACAGTATTGTACTTAAGAACAATGGATAAAATCGGCTTGCTCATATAATGGAAAGGAAAATGGTCTGAGAGCCTGTTCATGCATTGTGTGTGTGTGTGGGTGTGTGCATTTAGTACTTACAGCTCATCAATAAACCAGAGATGCCACAGGAAGCTATGGCTGGCTCTCTGACACGGTTTCCATAAGATATTTAACATTCCAGGACAGTCCTGCTTCATCAGTAGAGGGTTTACGGTTACTTCAAAGAACTTCTGTGTTCTACTAGTTGGAAATTTTAGATTTAAAAGCATTTACATGGCCATTGGTGGCACATTCCAGTGTCTTTAGTGGCCAAAACCTTGCTGGGTTTTTAAGATACCTGTCAGTGATTCACTATATAACATAATTATTTTAGTAAACTTTTAAAACTGGTCATTGAGGACCAAAATGTCGGTATTAAATCATCCATTTAGACACGTGGATATACTTAATGTTGAGATATTCTTCCTATCTCTCCCCCAACCGAAATAGCAACAACTGTCCCCAATGTTTGCCTGTCAGTGAACAGGGCCAGGATAAGTAGCTTCTGTATTGATTTATTGCTGGACATGTACAGGATGCTGGATCACCTTTAGGTTGCTGTTGTAACATGAAAGCAGTATGTAAGTTTCATAAGATGTTTTGGGATTGGACTAGCTTTACTAACTGTATAGCCAGCTGATCCTGTGTCTTCGGTTCTAGTTGGTTGCATACCTGTAAGTGAAACACAAGCTTATTCCACCGTTTCTGCCCCATCTTGCATCCAAAGGAATGGAGCTTACTGGGTCGCATTGCATCTTGAGTAGAAACATTGCTGCACATGCATGGCTATCTATGTTAAGCTCTATATGGTTGACTTGATCAGTCTCTCACATTGTTCTTCTTTATAATGTTGCTTCAGTTCACTCAGCCTTCGCTTCAAACTATTCCTCTTCGCGCCTACCTTGTCCACATGCTTACCTTTAATTTGCTGACGGTATTTCCTTCTGTGGGGTCAGGCAGTCTTGAATGCAGAAGTTATGTTATGACAGTGCATCTTAGTTATCAGTATTTTTGTTAACGCTTAGCTCAGTTTAGAATTCAGTGCCCTTTAAGGCACAGTTGTAGGGTTATAGCTAATACGGTTAGAATTGGAATAGATTTGTGCTAAACTTCTAGTATTAAGCAATCAAGCGTTCCATTGCATGACACTTACTGATCAGAACAAGTGATTTTCCCTTGCTAACCCTCATAACTCTAAGCTTTTACACTGTAAGTGTATACTACAGATCTTATGCTATAACTATATGCACTACTTTTCTTTATTTCATTAGCTATTAGAGATAGGAATTCGCTACAAGTTCAGTTTCACTGAACTAGACCTTTAGGTGATCTCCCCCCCTCTCCCTCAATGATCTAAATCTTTGCAACTTAAGAAATCTTTACCTTTCCTAAAACTGCTGCTATGACATTAGATACTTTCAGATAATTACTTTTTTGGAGTCATTACTCCATGACTAAGTATCTTTATGTTTTAACTAGCTCTGTGAAAGGCATTCACTACTTTTATATTATCTATTGTTTGTATATATCGTTATCCCCTGTATCCCTGAGATTCAAGGTTACTTTACCTTTTTTTAACCATATCTATTAAACGTTAGATTTTAAGTGTTTAATTTATTTAGGATCCCAGTTAATTAGGACAGATTTATGTTCTCTATATTGGTGGCATTACTAGTGCACACAAGCAACAAAATGCTGTATCAACTAGGTGGTCATTCTGATTGAAATAGCAGAGTTTAACTCCATTTAAAATGAAGTGCCTCTACTTGCTGTCTGTGTGCTAACGTGGTCTGGGTGTCTGTAGAGTCCCTTTTAAGCTAGCGGGAAGCCATGTACGCTAGCTGCAGGTCAATACCTTCGTTTGTATGTTCTGACATATCCCCAAATGCATGTAGAGAGCTGCAGGGTGGACCCTCTTGATTTTGAAGCTTAATAAGCTTACACTTTATTTACATTATGCAATATTTGTAGGGATTAAATCCCATGACGTCTCTATGGTTTTCCTTTGAAACATCAATGCTGCTTGCAAAATTCCCGACAGTCAGCCAAGCCTGTCATACTGACCGTACAAGCACTATCAACGTTGATATGGGCAGTAACCTTTATTACTCCTCCCCCCTCCCCCCCCCTCCAAACATACTATAAAGCATGTTGCTGTTATATGATGTATAATATTATACATAGTTGGAATTATTGTAAGTGTAATTTCTTTTAACCACTTACATTTCCTCAAATGATTATAGTGGGTTATCATACTTGAGGGGTTACTCCAAGCCTCATAACCACTAGAGCCCTTGACCAGTTCCCTTATAATGAGGCAAACTGTTGAGTAGCCTTTTGCCCCCTACCTGGGTCCTTGCCGGCCCTGATGCTCCCCGGTGGTCCAGTGACTGTCCCATTCATTGTTTGAGAAAGTCAGCTGACCGATCGTAGCCAATGACTTTCATTCTGTGCAATGTGATTAGCACAGAATTATCATTATTATTTATTATTAGTTATTTATATAGCGCCAGCTTATTCCACAGTGCTTTACAATTAGAGGGGAATTTACCACATGAGACAATAACAAAATGTAACCTGAACAATAGGTAGTTGAGGACCCTGCTCAAACGAGCTTACAATCTAGAGGAGTTTGGGTATAAAAAACACCATAGGATGAGGGAGACTGCAAATAGACATGGTGAGAAAGTAGCAGAACTGGAGGTGAGTGGAGTTTGGCCCTTTAGGAGGAATCAAAAGGAAGGTTTGAGAGAGAGAAGTTACTCTTGGAGGCCATAAGCATTTCTGAAAAGATGGGTTTTGAGGGACTTCTTAAAGGATTGAAGACTAGAGAAGCATCTGACTGGTAGGCAGGCTGTTCCAAAAGAAAAGAGCTGCCTGTGAGAATTCTTGCAGGCATTAATTTGCAGTAAGGGTGCGAGCAGCATACAGGAGAAGGTCACCAGTAGAGCGGAGAGACCCAGTGGGGGCATACCTATCAATCAGTGAAGAAATGTAAGAAGGGCTAGAGTTGGTTAGGGCTTTATAGGTAAGAGTTAGTATTTTAAATTGACACCTGTAGGGTACAGGAAGCCAGTGTAAGGATTGACAGAGGGGTGAGGTGTGAGAGGAGCGACAGGAGAGAAAGACCAGCATGGCAGCAGCATTCATCAGATTGTAGGGGGGCAGTACAGCTTCTGGGGAGACCAATTAGGAGAGAATTATAGTAATCCATGCGAGAGATTACTAGAGCATGAACAAGCTCCTTGGCAGCATCTTGCGTAAGAAAGGGGCGCATGCGGGCAGTGTTTTTTAAGTTGGAATTGACCGGTTTTAGCCACAGACTGGACATGAGGTGCAAAGGTGAGGACAGGACCAAATATTACACCAAGACAGCAAGCTTGAAAGGATGGGGTGAGGCGGGTACCGTCAACCTGCAGGGAGAGTGAAGGAGGAGGATCAGTGTTATGAGGAAGAAAAATAAGAAACTCGGACTCCGAGAGATTGGATGTTCTCCCGCTTTTTGAAACACAATCAGAGATGGAAGAAAGGCAATTGGTGACACGTTGTAGGACAGCAGGGGAGGAGAGGTATATCTGGGTGTCATCCCCGTACAGTTTGTAGTGGAATCCATATGAATTAATGAGTTTGCCAAGAGAGGCCGTATAGAGAGAGCACACAAGGGGACCAAGGACTGAAGCTTGAGGGACTCCGACTGAGACAGGACAAGGAGAGGTGTCGTTGGAAAAAGACACTGAAGGAGCGTTTGGAAGATAGGAGAACCATGAGAGGGCTGTGTCACAGAGACCAAGAGATTGTAGAGTTAGGAGTAGGAGGCCATGATCAACAGTGTCAAAGGCAGCAAAGAGGTCAAAAGGAAATAGTATGGACTAGTGGCCTTTGCATTGACATTAGTCAACCAAAAACTCCTAGTTCCAGGCTGGCGGCTGATACCTCTGTGACGCTGCTGGATATAACGTCACACCTCCAGCAGCAGAGGGGTTAATCTCTGCAAAACGCTGCATATACAGACCTCATGCACAATTACCACTTCAAATTGCTGATATGGTCATGGTTCTTGTAGTAACCCATTGATTCCTGGAATGTGGTCTGTGCTGTTTTGAGGAAAAAGGCAGAACTTTAAAAGAACTCCCTAGTGTGTTTGCTAAGATATTTGTTTTAAATCTATAAAAAGCTGTTTGACAAATACTATCTCCCACTGCTAATGCATCTAGTGGAATTTCTGCAGTCTGTAGAGCTGTTTCTCCTCCTGAAATAACACTGCATGCGCACGATGTATGATACACTGTAAAACTCAAGACTGTTGACTTTGATTCATTGGTGAAGTTTTATTGCAAGGTCTCAAATGATTTCAAAGATCTTCAGTGAACTGCATTCGAATACTAAGCTGCTCCTTTTGTATAAATCGTCTCTGGTTGCCTTTGTGCCTGTTCCTTAAAGTGACATGAAATAACAACATACAGGTTTTTTTTTTTTTTTGTCATTCAATTTGCTTTTATTGACATCATAACAATTGGCAATACAAAGTTATATGCCTCAATACAGAAGGTGGCAAAAATAGTGTACATGTCAGTTGTTGTTCATTTGGTATAAAGGTATCGTTAGACATACAGGTTTTTACTCTGAAGAATGTTGCAGAAATGTTTTGTTGGCATTGTGTAAAATTGTTCAGGTTTTTTGTAATACCTTTTGTTTTAAATATCGTCACAAGTCTATATAACCATTTCTGCCCTGATCTAAGGTTTGAAAAATTCTCAATAACAGTACTTTGCCAGTTACGTCTGGATATTTATTTATAAATAAAGCACAATCATTTTTGCAAATTTGGAGCTAGAAACCGCAAATGAATAAAACGTCTGCTCATTTTATTTGACAGATTTGTAAAAAGGAGACCTGACAAGTGAGACCTGTACCCAGGTTTTAAGAGACACTTTTTTAAAGGGGCACTGTAAGTAACACAACGGCTTATTGCAGTGTCCCAATGAGTGGTTTTAATTTGTCTCCCTATCTTTTAAACCATTTTTGAGTCATTTAACCGTAAATGGGGTGTCCTGGCCCCTCTGCTGTGGCTTGTATGAAACCAACATCTTTGTTTCTTTGTGTTTTCAATCCCAGATAAAGGATTTAACCCCTCAAGGACACAGCTTCAGAAGCTTGTCTTACGCTTAATGACACAAGCAACTTTTGCATAGTAGTTGTGATGCTAAATGTGCGCCCTTAACATAAACCCCCCTTTTTAAATTAACATGAAAAGGCTTTATTTAAAAAATAAATAAATAAATGTTTAAGTAATTTTGCCTTCTATATGTCCCAGCTATACAGGGAAATGTATTATTGCTTTAATTTCACATGAAACTGTGTAAGACTAGAACTGTTTAATATAAATTTTGTATTCTGTGCTGATGCTCCTCTCAAAAAGCAGACCTTTTCAGGAAGTTCTTATTTTTGGTAACAAACGTAATTTTCTGGCAAGGTTTATGGAATATTGATGTAGATCTAAATCTCATTTTCATGCCTTTTGACCTTTCACAGTATCGGGTCAAATTATATTATAATTATTTTTTCCTACACTTTGAAATTTGGATTTCAGGTTACTACAATTTGATACTGTGTGAATACGCCATGTGTAGATCATACTTCTGGATACAGCGATTGTGTGGAAATATAGTGTTAGGTCTTAATGTCAGGACCACTAAAGGATGTGATCTTTGGCGATGGGCAGAGCTTAAAGAGACACTGTAATGTGATTATAGTGTCTGGAATTTTTCCTTTCATTTAGAGTTTGTTTTTAATGGTTTAATGCTAAATTAGAGTTCTCAGGAGCCATTCCCCTCTGCCAAACCTACCTTTCAAATCTTTGTATAGGAAATTATCTGGTCACATCACTTCTATTTTCAAATGTTGTTTTGTAATTTTGTACTTTTATCTTGGGGGGGGGGTGGGAACTTTTATAGCGCCAACAAATTCTGCAGCGCTTGGATGTATAAAACTGGTTTGTGTGGTTTTATTTTTACTTTAATGTCTATGTGGCTGCCATAGACTAGCTCTTGATTCCATTTAGACTCATTCATGCCATTTTCCCTATCTTATAAATAATGTACCAGGTTGGTGGTTTTTTCACTAACAAAATTACTTTGAATATGTTCTCTAAGAGCCAGGTCCAGTGCGTTTTTAAAGTGGTTATGGTGCCAAGAGTCCCCAGCATTGTCCTTTTTAATAAGTCGTCACACTCTGCCATTGAGAAATGTCTATAATTGCACAAAACTGATAATGCAAATAGAGAAGCAAAAAGACAACTGCCACCTAAACTATTTTTTAATAAAACAACCATTCACCACGTTTCCAAAAGAAATTCTAATTTTTTTTTAAATTTTTTTTTACATGAACTTTGTAAAAATAATAAATGAGAAACCCATCCCTACATGTTGATAATGATTAGGATCCTTCAACCAAATACATGGACCTTGGGTCAGACAGTTTGATAACCAACAGTCTGTATTGTCTACTTTTGTTTTAATTCTTGATACTTCATTGGAAAAAAAAATTTCCTTTCCAAACATGATGAAATGATTATAATAAAAATGTGACAGTGGTCCTTTAAGCTTTAGCTTATATGTGTAGACTAGAAGTTCTGTGGGCTGCTCACAGAGATAGGTGAGTATGAAGACTTTCCGAAGAGCTCCAGGGGATTCTTGGAACCATAATCACTACAGCAGGCTATAGTAGTTGTGATGCTAAATGTGCGCCCTTAACATAAACCCCCCTTTTTAAATTAACATGAAAAGGCTTTATTTAAAAAATAAATAAATAAATGTTTAAGTAATTTTGCCTTCTATATGTCCCAGCTATACAGGGAAATGTATTATTGCTTTAATTTCACATGAAACTGTGTAAGACTAGAACTGTTTAATATAAATTTTGTATTCTGTGCTGATGCTCCTCTCAAAAAGCAGACCTTTTCAGGAAGTTCTTATTTTTGGTAACAAACGTAATTTTCTGGCAAGGTTTATGGAATATTGATGTAGATCTAAATCTCATTTTCATGCCTTTTGACCTTTCACAGTATCGGGTCAAATTAGTTTTACAAATGGACCAGATCTTACGTGTCTGTCACGTCCTTTTAAGGAGAGCTTCTGATATTCCCACTCATGCAATCCTACAGTAAAAGTTTAGCAATGGCTAAGAGCCAGAGACTTGTGGGGAAATTTGAAACAGATTTTTCTCCAGTTAGGTCATGTGAAAGTTTTTTTTGGGTGCTCCATGCAGAAAGCTAAAAGTACTTTTTTTGCAAAGTAGAGCGTCCTTGTCAATGAGCTATTGAGATTACTGCATGTAAGAGCATGACCTGCATCACATGTAGTATGTCCTATTCAACTGTGTAGTCTGCACTGCTAAAACTACATGGTATTGAGACCGTGTTAAAATAAAGTTTTTTTTTTTATATCCGGAATTCTAAAACGTGGAAAGATTATTCTGCAAGTTGTGGAACTTGACCATTCTAAGACTGGTCTCTAAAAATGTGGCACATCAGATGTTTCCCAAGTGCCTTTCATACAGAACTCAAATTATGTGAATGTGGTTTGAACACATCAGGGCTATTGGCAGGGCCGGTGCAAGGGTTCCTGCTGACTTCATGAATGCAGTTACATTCTCTGAGGTGTATTCCCTAAATTCCAAAGATTAAACAAAAACAGCTGAACTGTAGCCGAGCTGGCGAAATCGGCTATTTTAACCTAAATTCTGCCGTTTGGTTTCCATTTAGGTCTGATCAGTTGTCCATTTCCTCAGCAGTGCCCATTCCTCTCTCTACACAACCTGTGCATGCTCTCTCGTCAGCTTTTATCCCATCTTACCTCTCACTGCCACTGATTCTCTCCAGCCTCTCTTTATTCTTATAGGGATTATTCACTAGGTGACAATCGTTGGGAATTCCAAGTGATTTTTCGACACTGCGATCTAATGATTTGGTTTGGCTGCAGGGGGACTGCCTGTGTGAAGCAGGTCCACAATATATAATCATATCCAACATAAGTCTTCCAATATACTTAATTTTTCTATATGATGTTAATATAAATATATATCAATTTAATCTATCTTCATTCCAAGAGTATTTTGATATGAATAGAATGCAGCAGGAATGATCTAAATGTGACAGCCAAGTCTGTATTACATTTTCCTATCCGTTTCATTAATCTGACTTTGTTTGACAAGAGTCTACAAAGAGCTGTAATACATAATGGCCCAGATAATTTAATTTACAAGCCCTATATTTGATCCTGTAACTTTCCAAAACCCCCATAAAGCCTGCACATTGGGGGCATTGTACTTGGGCACCATCACCACATACAGCTGTGGTTTTTTTCTCATGAACAAAATGATAAATAAGTGTGGGTACCTTTTTAATATGAAAGGGGTAAATTATGGTTGAACAGACATATAGCTCAAATGCAGGATTAAGGCCTTAGGGAAAGTGCACCCAGACCACTTCAATGAGCTGATGAGGTCTGGGTGCCTATAGTGTCCATTTAAAGGGTTAATGCCAAAAACAAAGAAACCTGGAAACATTCTTCAGATTTGACTACTTTGACCTTTCATTTGGCGTTAACTTTTAATTCATTTTGAATCCCAAACAAATTCTTACCGTGAATAACCTTGTCTTTTGTCACTTTCTCTTATTTTCTCTTCCCTGTCTATTCATTAGAGTTGAAATATGACTAGCAACACTTAGTTACTTTAAATCACTTCTTTTTTGTCCTATCTCAATTCTATTTTGGAGTTTTTCCTAAGTGTCTAACTGCCTTCTTGTTTAAAGAGAGAGGCCAAGACCTTTAGTGGAAAATGTCTTGGAAACTGGGAAGACATTTAGGAAACAGACTGGGGAGACCTTTAGGGAACAAGGATGGAACAGTGAGATTGGGAAGACATCCAGGTAAAGGAAACTGACCCAGAGAGACATCCAGGGTAAGGAAACAGACTCTTTAGGGAGAGCTTGAGGTATTTAGGAAACCATAATAGACCGGGAGACTTTTATTTATTTATTTTTTTTTTTTTATTTTTTTTTAGGAGAGCGACACTGTGCATACGTTTAGGCAAAGAGACTGCCCAATATAAGCACACATCCAGTACATCCATCCACGCACGCTGCCTAATACATACAATCAACCACACACATTACATGCATCCATAAACACATACTTTTACTTAAAAATTTTTTTTTAAAGTGTGTGTGTGTGTGTGTGTATGTATGTGTGTGTATATATATGTATATATGTGTGTATGTATATATGTGTGTGTGTATATATATATATATATATATATATATATATATATATATACACTTCCCATTTACAACCATGCTGGCAATAATCAGTCCTCCTTATCCTCCATGGGGACCATAACCAAGTGACTGGAGAAGAGGACCTTGAATAGTATATGTGGAACTGCACTCACTCCCACAAATCTGAGCCAGGGTGCTTGCTGAGCCGGAATCAAACACCAGATTTCCAAACATTAGTAAAATAATAGGGGTACAGGCACTCCTTGGTTCACGACAGGCACTTTATTGAGAACCACAACAGCAAAGTTTTGACCCCAAAAGGTCTTTGTGAGCTTGACAAAGACCTTTTGGGGTCAAAACTTTGCTGTTGTGGTTCTCAATAAAGTGCCTGTCTTGAACCAAGGAGTGTCTGGACCCCTATTATTTTATTTGGAGAAGAGGACCAGCCTGCAGGAAGTGTCCTTTGTTAGTAATGGGGAGTAGGAGAGCCATACACTGTGAGCACAGGCTGCTTCCTGCTCCCTTCAGAGGGATTCTGGTGTTCACAGGCAGGAGGCAGCCAGGATACCAGGTCACGTCATGGCTTCCCCTGCCTGCAGGAAGTTCTGTTCGGGCTACATCATAACCCAAGCAGAAAACAGTCTGCATTAAGGCAGGGAGGGAACACAGCAGATTAAATGATTAACCACTCTGGGTGGTTAAAGAGCTGTTCGTCAAGAACTTTGGCCCCAGACAGGGGCAGCCCACAGAAAACTTCAGGGTGGGAGCCCTTGATAGGTCAGTGCCCCAGGTAAATGGCTGTTGGGGTATTCTGGGTGCCTGCATATCAAAGGGAAGAGTCCACTTTGTTAAACCGCTTGCTAAACTTAACTTTTTATTTGTAGCTTCCAGCAGAGGGTTAAAAAATAAAATAAAAAATCTTGGTTATTATAATGTAGATACGGCGATTTTATTTATTTTTTTCCTTCTCCCCAATACCGGTGACTTTTGTCTCAACATGGCTTTGTTATGGAAGTTTTGTCCTTTGCATTCCCGTCTGCATATCGATCTCCGTTAACAATTCTTTCTGTTCTTGCTGGCTCTCAATCAGACCTGTCCCGTGCTACCTGTGTAAGGTGTTCAGTGCCCCATCGGTTAACCTTCCCTTTATCTTTACTTTGCCTTGTCCATTGTTAAAAACATTGGCTTACAATGAACATGCACTTTCATTATAGAAACCTATTGACTCTGTCTGGTTATGCAACTGCTTATCTGCCATCTCAACTGCTGTTCGTTAGTGTAGCTGAATAAATACAGTTTTGCCTTTGGTGTCATGCTGTTAAACACAGATCTTTTTAAACCTAGTAATTGCTGAAAAAAATGCTAAAAATTATAGCTTATTTGTTCTGCCTGCTCTGCTCTTGTATTACATGTACATGTGTCAAATCACATTCTTCCATGGTCCAGTACTGGGTGATTGTGCCTTGTAGCACTTGTCATATCTTATCCTGTATTGACTCAAAGGTCTAAAAGCATTCATTGTGGTATTCTGAATTCTACAAACCCAAGGATTGAAGGAACATTCTAAGCGCAATAACCACTATAGCTTGCTGTAGTGGGTATGGTGTCCTGGCATCCCCTCATAGTAAGTTGTCTAATGGTATAACCATTTTCGCTGGCTTTTTAACTGGAGTATGTGGGCCACCACTCCCAGCCTCCACTACTATGTCCATAGAGCTGATACTTAAGCAGGCTTTCTGATAGCTCTTCCGAGCTAAGCTTTGCAGCACAGGGCATACCTCATTGCATTTGCCTAGACTCTAGGTAAAAAGTTAAAACATTGGCTTCTTACAGTAGGGGGGCTGCCAGAGCACTCCTGAGCATATCAAATAATCATATAACTTGGGCTTGATTGGGACTGCTATATATTTTAAATTCAAACTCTCTCTAATGGATATAAACTAGTATACATTAAATGCGAATAATACCTGATGTGAATTTGCACATTTTCGGGAGGCTGTAATACTAGAATACATTGTTTTCTGTGATTCAAACTTTTTTCCTTGGAATTGTGTATCTGACGGTGTATAAATGCAGCACAGACCTAAAGTATGTTGGCAGTAGATAAGGTAAGGATGTGAATAGATTACATTTACAATTTTAAAGAGCCCCTGAGAGCTGACTGGCTGCAAACTCTTTGATAATTGCTGTGAATTCTACAACCAGTTAGGCTTTGACATAGTTTAGGCTTCATAGTTGAGTAGTACATGTCATATTTATGATTTATCTTTTCTCCCTGCTAGATTGCACTGAAATATGATCCACAAGTAGAAGAAGATCTGCGTCTTTGGATCGAGGAAGTGACTGGCATGAGTATTGGTGATAATTTCCAACTGGGTTTGAGGGATGGCAAAATTCTGTGCAAGTAAGCATAGGATATTATTATGCTGTTTGGTGCATTAATGTTCATAAAATCCAATGTTCATAAACCTTTATGTTGCAAAATGAAGAGATCTATCAACTGCACATGTGTAAATTTGTCAGCAGTGCCCAATGTATCTTTCCTGCATTCCTAGGAAATAGGACACTGGTTAGAACGGTGCCCCTATATAAATCATATTCACCAGCTTCCCCTCCCCCCCTGCTGATATGCATAGTGGGGCAACTGTCTCATTCACAGCTAACGCATATGTATATTTGTATGCATAAAAAGCACATTATTTAACCTCTTAAGGACGGTGGGCGTTCTATGCTGTCCTTGGGGACCCGACTCTAAACGCTGGCGGGCCGCATAGAACGCCCAAGCAGTCCTATGTACTTACCCGTTAATAAATAAATAAATAAATAAGTGTGTGTAAATTCACTCTAACTGTATTTTAAAATTATATATTGATATTAAAATACATGTTGAATGAAAAATATATATATATATATATCTATATATCTCTCATCACTATATATGAATTAAAAAAAAAATTCAAAAAAAAATTGAGATTGTAGCCGTATTAGTCCAGTGATGTAGATTTAAAAAAAACAGATAAAATTTGTATCTTGTAATACCATTTTTTTTTTTCCTGCACTCCTGTCTCTTTAACCCCTGTATCACAACTCAACTTTGAATTCTATGTGTCATCTTGCTCAGAAATGCTTCAGACTTGAGAAAGGGAGGTTCTCCCAAAAGCTTGTCATTAAAAAAAATTCGGTTATTCCAATAAAAAAAGGTATTCCAAGATACACATTTTATCTGTGAGAGATATGTAGCGGTTACCCCATGTAGCAGAGGGGTTACAACCGCTGGAGGGTGTCCTTTTCCCGATCAGTGAGGAGGATTCTCAGCATCCAGTCGTGTTCCAAATGAAGAAGCTCTTACAAGAGCTAGTGGGAATAGCTGTATAGCGTTTCTGTTTTACTCGGAAGACTTTGCTGAACACAAATATTAGTGTTTCAAAACAGTAAATTGTATTACAACGATGATATCGTCAGTGACAGTGATTTTTTTTTTGATTTTTTTTTGCATTTTTTGCATTTTTTTGCATTTTTCACACACAAATGGTACTTACACGAACAATATAATTATTGATACGTTTTACTGTTTTGAATCACTAATATTTGTTTTCAGCGAAGTCTCCCAAGTATAACCGTACCCCTAATTTACAGGTTTTATGGTGTTTTCAAAAGTTACAGTCAAATATAAGTCTTGCGGTTCAGTTTTTTTTCACATTGAAAATTTGCCCGGTTGGTTATATTGCCTTTGAGACCGTACGGTAGCTTTGGAATGAAAATTACCCCCATGATGGCATACCATTTGCAATAGAAGACAACCCAAGGTATTGCAAATGGGGTATGTCCAGTCTTTTTTAGCCACTTGGTCACAAACACTGGCGTTCAGATTAGTTTTTTGCATTTTTCACAAATACCAACATTAACTTTGGCCAGTGATTGTGACCAAGTGGCTACTAAAAAAGACTGGACATACCCCATTTGCAATACCTTGTGTTGTCTACTTTTGCAAATGGTACGCGATCACGGGGGTACTTCTTATTTCTGGGCTACCAACTGTCTCAAAGGCAACGTAACCAATCTGGCAAATTTCAATATGGAAAAAAATGAAAAATGTAACATGCTATATTTGACCCTTTACCTTCCCAAAACACCATAAAATCTGTACATAGGGCGCCCTTTTTACACGTGAGACATCACAGAATATAAATGTGTATTTTATTGCAGTAAAAGCAAACCGTATTATGACATTCAGTTAAAATGTCATGTAGAACTAATTTTTCTTTTTAATTTATTTTCTCCCATTTTTAAATATTTTTTCATATTAAATTATGTTTCATACCTACATATTTGATGTTAACTGAAAGCCCTGTTTCCCCTGAATAAAATGATATATAATAAGTGTGGGTGCACATAATGTGAAAGAGGCGAATTACTCCTTAACAGACATATAGCGCAAATTCAAGTTTTTGTTTACGTTTTGTTTTGATCACAACGTGTACATTTGGCTCAGTCCTTAAGGGGTTAATGACAGAATCATATCTTGAGCCCCCCCATTGTCAAAATTCCAGAATATGGAGAGGAAAACTAGCATCGCACCTGCCAAGTCTTTTTATATGCAAGTTATTGACATGTATACAAGGGGTTGTGTTATGGATGCAAACACTTGCTTCCTGTGTGTAATTCTTGGTATAGTGGGTGTTAATGGCTAACACCCTTTAGTCTGGTTTAAAAGTTTAAAATTGTTTGTAAAATCTATTTTTTTTTTATTTATTTTTTTTTTATTTTTTTTCAGTCTTATAAATATACTCCATCCTGGTGCAGTAAGAAAAATAAACGAAGCAAAATTAAACTGGCATAACGTAAGTAGGATTGGGGTAATGGGGATTGTCCCTGAATATAATGAGAATGTGTTTGTTTTGTTTTTTAATTCAATTTGGTGTGCTTTTTAGACTTTATTCTGAATTTTTACAGTGGTGACTATTACAATTAGTAAAAACAGCAAAGATTGGGGTATGGGTCTGCGCCAGTGTGCACAATAAATAATAATATTAAGTCCAGTGAGATCTATATTGTCGTATCCAAGGATCTACTTCAACGATATCCAGAAGGTGTTGGTGGTGTGAAGAGTAATCCAAATATGTGAAAAATAGAAGAGATCTTACTTACAATTGGCAGAGCTTAATCCAGCTCTGGTGTGAATGGCTTACAGCGGTATTATCCCCGCTTGTAGGATATGCAGCAAGTGTCCTCTTCTTTGTAGTGGCAGGTAACCAAGTTTGAGAATAAAAATAGAGACAGTAATGGTGCAGTATGTTCCACACGTATGGAAAAAATTATAAAATATAGTAGATACACTCACATTCGGTAGAGCTTAGACTAGCTCTAGTTGATTTGGCGTGCAGCGGTATTATCCCCGCTTGTGGGATATAGGATGAGTGATCTTGACTTGAGTCTCAGGAGCTCGGAGAGAAGATAAAACAGCGATAGTGCTCTCAATAAAATATTGGTAAAATAAATAAGATAATAAAATATACTCACAGTATATAGGGCAGGCTAACTGCTCTGTGTAACAGCGTGGGTGGTATAATCTCCACCTAGGATTCTTGGGAGTATAGTATCCAGGAAATAAAAAATAAGTATAAAAATGGATATAAAACGTATATATAAAAAAAAGGAAAAAAAACTATATATAAGGCCAGGTAATAAGAGACAAAACATGATGGTTTAAGCATAAAAATAACCAAAATCTTTTTATTGACAATATATAAAACAGTAAAAGTATCCAAACGCGTTTCGCCAGTATGAGGCTTTATCAATGGATAATAAACATTTAAACCTGGCTAGTAAGAGTTTATATAGGAATAAAATTAATTTAAAATTGGCGCCAAAATTGTACAACCAATGGTAAAGCAGATCTTATATGCATTTACAAAACAGCTTTTAGTGTTACAAATTCAATAGATTTGACTTATATAATGCTTATAATATAATTTGTGAATAAAAACAAGCGTTATTTAATAACAATATTTGTGTTATAAGCCGGACCACGTGACGCGTGTCATAAGTGCGACGTCACTTCCGGTCGGCGGTATCATGGGGCATGTAGTTTAGAAGTAAGCTACATGTCTCAAAGCTGAATGGGGACCCACATTAGGCTAGGGGAAGCCACTTTGTGGCTTTATGCTAATTTTAAAATTATGCAATTCCATTGAGGTATTTATTTGTGGATGTGTGCACAGCTACTGCAACATCTCTGTTAAAGAGAAGCTATTCCGTAGATGCCCCCCCCCCTCCCCTGCTTTCATTGAACAAAAAGTGCAGATTTCAGTGTTTTTTGTTGTTGTTGTTTTTTTATTTTTTTTATATGGAGCTTTTATAAATTGACCTTGTTCCACCTCCCTGACTGTCAGACAAGTCCTGTCACTTCCAGGTAGTTTAGCTCAGTTGAGCCAAGTTCAACAGGCAGCAATTGCTTGGAGCCACCTGCCTTGCAAAGTCTTCTCGTTGAGCTATTGGAAAGTCTGTGATTTGACAGCCACAGAAAGGCTTTAACTTAATTTCTGGCTTTAATCTGATGAGGGCTTGTAAAGGCAGCAGACATGAGAAGTGCAGCTTTTGCAAGCTGTTTTAAGATATATCCCCAATGAAAAAAGAATATATATGTAAATGTAGGTTTTCTAAGGGTGTATATCTACTAAGCAGTGAATTAATTTTTGTATTTGGGCAGTAAAGTTGTCGGGTTTTTTTGTTTTTGTTTTTTAAAAAAGGCAGCAAACTTTGCACAACACTAAAAAAAAAAAAAAAAAAAAGTATTTGCTTTGTTTTTGCTACTGAGATAATATCGATCAAACAAACTACACATGTGTATGTCTGCTTGGGGTATAACGCAGGACACTTGCAATCCTGTTAATTTTCTAATGATAACCCCATGTCCAGTGATATGTATTTATTTTTTTAACTTCGTTCTCCTGCAGATATAGGGGGTGGGGGTGCAAAGAATTACTTTTCAATACATTTCAAATACTGCAAAAAAAAGTTTGACGCCCAGGAAAGAGTTGGAAATATCTTAATCATTTCATTCACAAGTTGCAGCTGCCAAGTCAAAACAAATCTTTTACGATGTTTAGTGCAATGCTTCAAAACTATTACAAAGTTATATTTGAGGTTTTTGCATTGGATTTTCTTTTGTGTATTCAGTAAATGTTACATTGTGCACAATATGATAAATTCTGGAACTGTAAAGAGTTTCACAGGCATTCTTATGTGTTTTTTTTTCTTTTCCATTCTATATATAATGTTCTTGATTTTGTTTTAATCCTTTTCTACAGTTGGAGAATATTGGAAATTTTATTAAGGCGATACAGGAATATGGAATGAAGCCTCATGATATCTTTGAAGCAAATGATCTCTTTGAGAATGGAAACATGACCCAAGTACAGACTTCTCTGGTGGCTCTAGCTGGTCTGGTAAGCACCTGCAGACTGTTTGCCAGACAGAACTTAGTCCTTATATTAATGGCTGCTCTCATAGTCTTGTTCTTAAATAAAAAGAATCCAATCTCATCTATTAATTTTTATTTGCCTAAAATCCCACTGAACAATCTTATCGAAGTCCAGCAAGACAGGCTAACTGCCTGCAAGTACACCTTCATGAATGTAGCGCATTCTGCCTTTTAATTGTTACTTCTGATTTATGCCCCTCAGACTCCAATCTCCTCTCTTGTTTATTTTGTCCATTTCCTCTTTATCAGATTGCATGCAAGCACAGTGCTTTAAGTTTGGTAGGAAACTGCTGTGTGCAGCACACGCACAGCACATCCCCTGCTAGTCAGGAGTGTAACTTGCTAAAACATAAAGAAAACGTGAATAAAATTATGGCACTCCACTGACCATTCCATTGCATCGAATGTTCCATTAAAGTATAGAAATCTGTTAAGTTTTTATGTGATTTTTTTTTTTTTATTAGGCCACCATTAACCAAAATAGGTTGTTTTTTTATGTATTTATTTTTAAGCTCATTTAGATGTTTGCTTTTTGTAGGCAAAAACAAAAGGATTCCACACTACAGTAGATATTGGTGTAAAGTACGCTGAAAAGCAGAAGAGACAATTTGATGACAATAAACTAAAAGCTGGACAGAGTGTAATTGGCTTGCAGGTACATTTCTGAATTTATAATTTCAGGATTTTGACAACGTATACAGCATAAGCTTCAATTTCTATTTAAAGGGACATTTTAGTCACCAAAACAACTTTAGCTTACTGAAGCAGTTTGGGTGTATAGATCATACCACTGTAGTTTTACTGCTCAATTCACTGCCATTTAGGAGTTAAATCACTTTTTTGTTTGTTTATGCAGCTGTAGGTACACCTCCCCTGGCTGTGCTTGTCACAACGTGAATAAAAAAGTTTCATTTTCAATCCGATGTAACTAACTTTAAACGTTTTTATCTCCCAATTTGTAAATTGAACTTTAATTACATACAATAGGTTCCTGCTGTATCTAGCAAGTTATTAACAGAGCAGGAACTGAGAAATTTTATGTTAAACAGAATTTAAAATAAAGGAAGTGTACACATTAGCTGACTCTTTAAAGGAAGTGTGTAGGAGGGCTGTGCAAGTCACATGCAGGGAGGGGTGTCTAGGGTTGTATAAACAAAGTGATTTAACTCCTAAATGGCCACGAATTGAGCAGTTAGACTGCACAGGCATGATCTATACAGCAAAACAGAAGTTGTTCTGGTGACTATATAGTGTCCCTTTAATTTTGTACTGGTTTGCATTCTAGAAGACTAAGGTTTTGAAGCTGGACTTTTGAATCTCAGACTAAATGTATTTAAATTTACAGGTCTCCAGGATAGTTCTTTGCCCATTTATATTAAACTAATTGTAAATATTTTCTATTTTATCAATATGTCTGCATTTGTACATTTCAGCTCTCACCTGTTTTCGGTTTTGTTTTTATTTTTTAATTCCAGATGGGAACCAACAAATGTGCAAGTCAAGCTGGGATGACTGCCTATGGAACCAGGCGACACCTGTATGACCCAAAGATGCAAACAGACAAGCCTTATGATCAGACAACAATAAGTTTACAGATGGGCACAAACAAAGGTGCTAGTCAGGTAAGAAATGCTAAAATGTTCTTCTTTTCAAGTCAAAATCACACTTGGCGCCCTGGCCTTTATTGCATTTGGTTTTCAAGATCCAATGGTCATCAAGCCTCTCTTAAAATCTACAAAACAAGCAGGGGTTGTTCTTCGCTGCTGGTGTTCAGTACATCTGAATCTCATCAATGACTGATGGAACTTTGCTCATTTCAAAGCAAGTTACAATGTCGGGCCACTTGATGTGGCCTGGCTACATAATGGACGCAATTGTTAGATCTCTAGTGATGTTTGCAGCTGCTGATTTATTTTTAGTTGAAGCGTAGGCCTATCATATTGGGTTTTTTTTGGGGGGGAGGGGGGGTAGGGATTTGTAAACAGGAGAAATGAAATTAATGGTTTAGGTTTTTTTTTAATTATGGTGGTTATGTAAGTGATTAACTATATTGGGTATTGTCTACTCTAAACTCTTCGTAAATAACAATTGGAAATTACCAACACCGTATGCATGCTTGAGAGATTCTATGAATAAAGTGCTTTACAAACTGCTTAACAATTTAGAATATAATATAGCAATTTTTTTATGTTTAAAATGTTATTTTCACGGTCCGTGACCAATAGGGGTACTGTATCTAGACTAGAATCATTATAAAATGTACTAATAAATGAACAGCAGCGTAAGCAGTTAGTCCAACAATTCAGTTAACATTAACTTTGTCTTTTTACTAGGCTGGTATGCCTGCCCCAGGAACAAGAAGAGACATCTATGATCAGAAAGGAATCTTACAGCCAATTGACAATTCTACAATTTCATTACAAATGGGAACCAATAAAGTAGCCTCTCAAAAAGGCATGAGCGTGTATGGTCTTGGGCGACAAGTATACGATCCCAAATACTGTGCTGCTCCAACAGAGCCCATCATACACAATGGAAGCCAAGGGACTGGAACAAATGGATCTGAAATCAGTGACAGCGACTACCAAGCAGAATATCCCGATGAGTACCAGGGAGAGTATCCTGAAGAGTATCCCAGAGATTATCATGGGCACTACAGCGACCAGGGCATAGATTATTAGATGTATACAATGTACTCTGTATTAGTTTATTTTATTCCATGGAGACCAAGCTAGCCTTGTGTAATTTTACCAGTCTTCCTTAAACACTCTGCTTTAATACGGAAACAAATTATTGCCTTACATTCCTTTATTTCTGCCTTCTATCCCTAGTTGCCTTCTAGTGCTGAGACTGATTTTATTTTCTACAGCATTATGAATAATTGCATATGAAGTAAAAGGAATACTGTGAATAATGAAGGGAACATTTGTTCAGTTATGCTATATCCGGTCTATGCAGTTTTGCTATTGATATCATGGAGTGCATGCTACAAACAAAATCCACACCTGTTTTCCCTTTTTACTTCTTGCAGCAGTAGTAAAAAGTGACGGTAAAGTAATGTCTTATGTAATTTTATTTTTTAAATTTAAGTTGATTCGATAAATAGGTGTTGTATTTTTTTTCTGCTTTGGTTTCAAGCAATATATTTTCTGCTGATTCTCTGGCTTTCTCGAGGTAGATGGCACTTTTGCTTCTTGACCGAAGGAATATAGGGGTTTTTAACTAAACTGATCAGTCTGGAACATGTTACAATCTTGGCAGCTCATTATTTAACGAATAACCCTGTGGTGTTTGTGGTGACAGGCAGCATCTTAATTTTGCATGCTCCTCTCACTGTAAGTAATTCGTTACAAGCACTTCACTATTTCAGTGTTACTCCAGAGCTACATTGTATGGTAGACTTTGCTGCTTGTAACATTTTAAGACTTAATATGGGCATGTAGAAATAGCTGTAGATCTTTTGTGGTTTAATTGTGCTGCATCATTGTGATACACATTCCATATAGCTTTGAAATCTAAAGGGATTTGTTTGTGTTCATAATTTTAACCCCTTAAGGATGTGTGACATGTTATGATTCCCTTTTATTCCAGAAGTTTGGTCCTTAAGGGGTTAAAGAAGCCAGTTCTTGGAATTTTTAAACAAGCAAATGGGTTTGGTTTAGATAGTCTACATTGCGAATTCAAACTATCGATCTTGCCTGTTATTTTAAAAGTTGTCTATGACGTGCCACATAGGATAACAAGGTTTTTATTGTAGGTGAAGGACCAAGAATTGTATTATGCTAAAAATAATGTGCTTTGTTGCTGCTGAGAGAGCATGATTTAGAAAGCCAGAGAACGTGTAACCTGCTCTACATTCCTTGCCTTTTCCAATAAAGGAAGGCTGTATAAAGTTTTTAGGACTATGCAAATGTTAACTCCTCTATCAAAATGAACTGCAAAAACAAGCCAGATTTGCTGCAGCCATTCTGATCACTGAGAGTTAATTTTAAAATTTGCATTTACATTATGTCTGTGCCATATTGTACTCATGTAGTATGTGCTTAATTTCTTTTATGTATATTTATTGCCACATTTCTCAGCATAAACTGATCCCAATGTATTTTTTTATAAATAAATTTTGATATTTTTTTTTCGTTTGCATTGTTTTGCCACCTGCTTGTGTTTGTTATATAGATTTAGCTTTGCAAGGGAATTTATTTACAGTTTTATTCTTGGTATGCTTTATGTCTAATACAAAAGATGAAATTGGTGTGCAGCTGTGATGGTCAGCGAGTTATGCTAAAGTTTAGATTATTCACCAAACTGTAGTTCTGAAAATTGGCAACTTTTTTCTCTTGAGGCCATTTACAAAAGTGCCACCAAAGTTGTATGTTAAACCAGGGATTTTAAATGGTAAACTTACTCTAGATTAGGGGTGGGCAAATTGTAGATCCCCCAAATGTTGTAAAACTGTAACTTGCATTATGCTTTGCCTTTCTAAAGGCTGATAAAGCATCATGGCAGTTGAAGTTCTAGAACATTTGAGGATCTACTGTTTGCCCAACCCTGCTTCTAGATCTAAAGTGATTTGTTTAGAAGTAAATGCAAAGTGCCAAGAGTTAACTAAAGCAGTACTACACACAAAGCACTTAGCAACTTGAAGTGCTTTGTGTCAAGGGCATCTCATGTTAATTGCAAATTATAAAACTAGTGTATGTTTTCTTAGCGTTCCTGCCTTCACCTCCAAGTCCATTTTCCTACAAGCATGCACACAAGTCCCCAGGTCTCACTCTATGCGTTACGCATGGTCACAGTTTAAAATCAGAGGCTTCTCAATTAACCTCTGTTCAGTCTGTGACAGGGAAGTGAACATTTTTACAGAGGCTGCAGATAAGAGATCTGCAGCATGAGCAAGCTAATTTTAGGTACATTTCAAATGAAAAACAAAATGCATACATAAACATGCATGCTTTCATTGGGGGTATATCCATTTACAAAAAAAACTGCCAATCAATTGGTCCTTTTAAATCTGGGATGGATGCACCAAGCAATAGGTGCAACTTGAAGTCTGCATACAAAGTACACCGTAAATTTAACAGGCATGCCACCAAAATATTCCAATATGTGCAGTTGCTACGAGTAAAGAGCGGGTCATTGATAAGACCCCAAATGTAAATCCTGGACAAATCAAGTTGTTCAGGTGTGTGTTTATTTTTATTTTTTGAATGGATTTTTGATTACATAAAAGTGTAGTACTGTGAAATAAAACATTAACACATGATCTAAAGTATCCATTTTATTCCATACTGCAAGTATAAATGGTTTCAAAGTAATGGTTCATAAATACTTCTACACTGTATAAAAATAGTAACTCTACATCAATAAAATAGACTTTCCATATTTTAAGTCTTTCAGGATTTAATCCTTATAAGCCAGCAGGTATTCCTGTAAGAGAATTTAAATGTTGAGTGAAGAAAGCCAGTATGCTTTTTTTTTTTTTCTTCCTCCAATGCCAGTACTTCAGCATTGACACAGAATGTGCACCCTACTCATATAAAAACTATTGGATTTTACTGTGGAACACACTACACATTGATCTTTCAAGCTTTACCTGCAGGGTAAAGGGCATCGATAGGGAATGATGTTGCTGTGCTGTGTGATGAATACATAGTTTCATTCTGGGTAACAGACTGCTTTGGGGAAACGTTCTGGGTCTATAAGGGTAACCAGGATAAATTCTAAAATGTGAATTGGCCTTTTGAGAGCTCCATGATGTCCTTCCAGGACTAGTTATGGCACACAAGTTTAGGTATCTAGGCCAGTGTTTCCCAAATGGGGTTCCGTGAGAACACAAATTGGGTTCTGCCAATATTTGGGAATAAAATGGCCGCTGCGATAACTGAAGTTGGCGGCGAAGGAGCTGAGCAGGGGAGAGTGCTCACTCGCTGCCCGCCTCAATTATCGGGGCAACCATCAGAGCAGCGCTCACAGCAGTGATGCTGGAATAGGACGTCACTCCGGCATCACTAAGAGGCGCACAAGGAAGCTGAGCAGGAAGATCCTGCCCGCAAGTTGTTCAGCCCAGCGGCCCCACTGGACCCCAGGGACTGCACGCCAGCCGCTCAGACCCACTGGACCACAGGGAATAGAGACTCCATGCAATCCCAAAGGTAGAGCGGGAGCGGCTGGGTAGAGTGAAATTTAAAAAAAGTGTCTGTTAAGGAGTTTGTATGTGGGTATCTGTGTGTCAAGGTTTGTGTATGTTGATGCACTATGTCAAAGGGTTCCACGGGAAAAAAAAATAATTGGGAACCCCTAAACTAGGGAGATGTTCCAACTGATGGACGATCACAGGGTTGCTACACCTGTTATGTTTGATAGTACAGATTTTTCAAATCCTTATATGCAATTGTGAAGAAAGGCTGTGATTCACGAAGTATATTGGGCACTTAAGACACTTGCATGTAAAATGTAAAGAGAAATATATATTTTTTACTATCCACACTAAAACTCATGCATACTGTAGTACATTAAGGGAGCCACTTACATGTGTAGTGAAATGGCAGCTCATAAAATTTTCACAATTTTTTATTTACTTTCTCGCTGAGCAGCCATGTTGGTTGAGAATCTTCTCTGATTAAATGCTGTAGTTTAACACGGCAGCAGGCATGTTTATTGCGCAGCCGCAATTGGTCATATAACAAACATGGCTGCTCAGCCAAATAAAATAAAAAATTGTGACATTTTCTAAATGGAGGAGAGGCGGGGAATAAACATACATTTTTTTTTTCCATTAAATAGTTTAAAAGTGAAGCTGAATTTTACTTTTAAATTACTAAAATGTGTTTTGTTTTTTGTAATTTATGAGTGACATACTACAGAAGTGTACAAGTGCAGTTCTTGTTTTGTAGGGATTAGCCTGAAGGATCAGAGTTGAGAAAGCAAGAAGAATAAAAGTTGTCTATATAATGCAAACAAAGGTGGGAGTAGTAACAAAACACATTGGAGAGCATCTTTCATCCTCAACTACAAGTTTGAATTGGCATCCATGCAAAAGGAATGGCTTTAAAAAAAAAAAGTCATTATGGTAGGCTGTGCAAAGCACCATATCAGTCTGTGTTACCACTTGATACAAATGCAATGCATTATGTTCTTGCACTGTGCATCAAATGTTGTAGAAATCCTTCTGGGAACTTTGGCATCAGATTTCATTATAAAGAAGCAAACTGTAGTGTTTCCTAAGCTCTTGTATTGCAAACAGAATACAAAGCTTAGTGTTAACCTGCGTGAAGGGAAGCTTTGTGATGCAACCAGTCATTAAGTCTTTCAAATGAGCCATTCTCTTGTCTCTAACTGTACATTTGCAGAGCTGTAGTTTATCAGCAGACAGGAAGCTCCATTTGTAATAAAAAAAGCAAGCTGATCATTCTGCTCTGGCTATTGGCTGTAGTTCTGTACCTTCATCGCCATTCTGTGTTGGTATGTTCAGTTTTTCAGGTAGACTGGTAGTTCGGTGAATTAATGCCTTTAAAAAAAAAAAAAAAGTACTAATTTCAGTGATTATTTTATTTACATGACTGATTTGCTTAGAACAGCTATAAAAATAAATATATACATCTGTAGGAGACACTCCAGTAAAGGTGAAATTAGATCATAACTGGTGTATCAAACACTGTCTACTTACAATTAAAGGAATAGTAAATAAGTTGTATGGTGTGATCTTCAGTATTATATTGCAACTTTTTATGGGGGGAGGGGAGTATGGAGGAGATTTCATGTCCTGATGTAAAAGGAACAAATGATCTGAAAATTGCATTGCTGAGATATGTTTGAGGTCTTCTTGAAATTGTGAACCAATAGAATTTTAGGTCACTTTTCACATTAGTTCTTAGTAGGAAATGCTGTAAATAAGATTCCACAGGATTATTCTCTGTGCGAATTGTCTGAAATTCAACATGAATTTGAAATGCATAGTAGACTTATCTAAAATTTTCCAGTCTGGCTATTTTGGCCTTAAAGGACCACTAAAATTACCCAGGCCACTTTATCTCAAATAGTGGCCTGGGTGCAATGGTCCTTTCGTTTTAACACTGCAATGTAAGACTCTGTCACATGACACAGAAGCCCCCATAGGAAAGCATTGATTCAATGCTTACCTATGAGGAAATTTTGGATGAACGCAACACTTGCCTCTGAGGAGCATTGGATTGAATCAACTATGGAGGCCATGTCTCCTCCCTGATAAGCAGCATTAAGAGTCTCGTGCTGAAAAAAAATTAAGTAAATCTTTAATTGAATTCACAACCATTCTTGCTTCAGTGAATAATCTGCCAGTGTATAAATGCTCTATGGGAGACTTCCAAGTTGCATAATAACTAGACTATTTTAACATCATATTTCTGATTGAAACTGCACATCAGAAAAGTGGCATTCTCTTTATAGTTATCACCGAAATAACATTTTCAATCTTTACAAAGAGTAATAAGACAGAAAGAACCACTTCAGATACGTTTTTCAGAACAATCTGTCAAGCATGGCTGCAGCATAGGCGGAATGGGAAGATAAATATTTTGGTGGAAAGAGTTTAATGCAAAATTCACACTTGAGTCTGTGTGTAATCCGATGCTTTAAAAAGATATGGGCTATGAACATGTTCTTTTGAATTAAGGAGAGTGCATACATATTTGTATGCAATTTGATTATCCCTATCTCTTTTTTGACTTAACCATTGGTTTTATTTCAGTGACCTATGCCATTTTCAATGGCTCTCTTTTGCAAGTCAGACGCTTTCCACTAAGCCTAACCCTGTATTGTAGGGAGGCACTCATTGATTGAGAGTATGTAACAAACTCAGCAAGTAAGCCGGCAGGGTTGACCTTAAGTGTAGATTCTAGCTGCAGGGGAGGCAGATACAGGCATCTGGGGTAGCCCAGTTTAGTTGTCAAAATATACTTAAACAGGTTTGACTACTTGCTGTGGGACTGCGCTAGGGCACTCGTGTCACGATAAATACCAAAGAATGCTGCAGTGTTTATAGTTCTTGAGTTTCCTATTAGTCTTACCATTTTGTTGTAGAACGCCAGCTCCTCATGTGGCTTTGCCGAAGTACATTAAGCCAAGCCTCAAAGGTGCAGCTGAACTACAACTTCCTTAAAGGGACATTCTGGACCCCTAAGGCACTAATCTTGCTGGAATGCTTTGTGTGTGAATAGTGTAGCCTCTTGCATTTTACAACCGTGTTACACTCCATGGCTTGCAAACAGACAACAGATCCTGTTACTTCCTGCTTCAGTTAGCTCAGTGGAGCTAAACAAGAGGCAGCAATTTCCTAGAGCATCTGCTTTGCATAGACTTCTCACTGAGCTGGAATGTCTGTGATTAGGCAGCCACAAAGTCTGGGCTCGGCAAGGATTCCAAAGATAGCAGACAAGAGAACTGCAGCTTTTGCAAGATATTTTTAGATGTACCCCAAATGAAAAATGCATGCATTTGTTTGTACATTTATTCGCTGGGGGTATATCTACTATTTTGGAGCGTCCCTTTATTTCTCAGTATACCTTAGCATAATCCAGCGTTATTGCAGTTATGCCCAACAAATGTCGGGTGCAATGAGACTTCCCTAGCTTACAAAGGTTTACCTCTAGGTACTGCGTGTTGCACTGGTACTGAAATGTTCAGCTGGCATTGGTGCTCGGCCAGTGGGTAAGTTACTATTCCAGTAAGTAGCTTTCATGTCATTTTGATCAATTATACAACTTATATTATACAACTTGACAGTACTGGCTGGGCAGGAAGCTCTCAGCAGTTTGCTTTCTGTTCTAAGGAGATACTGATTCCCGGTTTCACCCCCAAAAAAACAAACAATACTGAAAAACACCATAAACATACACATGCCGCTTCCTTACAGCGGAATTGTCACTTCCAGAGAAATCTTTATTCCTTGTTCCTTCACCCCAGTAAACAGGGTATACTGGGATGAATGAAGCAGCAAAGGTAAGTAAAGTGTGCATCTGGCACCAATTGAAGAATTCCACACAAGAGCATGTGTGTGTCGTATACACTTACAACCGTGCAGGGCTGGTGGGTCCACTGTGGCATGCACATTTAGGTAAAAAGATCTATTAATATCTGTTAAAACAATAACTAACTTTTAGTAAGCTTGGTGGCTGAGCTAAAATCTAGGAAGAGATAATCCCTCCTCAAAAGAATACACTGGTTACTATGACTTCATCTCAATGTTATTTTAACCTATTAATTCAGCCTTTGTAAAATATTTGGGAAATAAACAACTTTATGTTACAACAGAGTTCTGTGTTGCCTAAAACAACTAGCCCCCAGCACAAAAGTGCAAATATCTATGGTATGTGCAGTGTTTCAAGCAAATACCTACCACCATAACCACATTCAAAAGCATAAGTGGCCATGGTGGCTGTAGTAACCCTTTAACACAACATGTTTAAAGAAACATTCCACATATATAGCACTAAAGTGCATGTATTACCAAAAGTGTCATGCTAACAATTAATAGACATGTTGCAGCCAAATGTACTTGTAAACTCCTGTAATCTAATTGCAATGATTACTGCTGATTCAAACTCCTATCTCTGTACCAAATTGAGAATTACTGGGAACAACGTGGATTTCAAATTTAGGGCCAATAGAGCCAAACTGAAGACAGAATTGATCTTGGAGACTTTCCCTAATATGGCTATTATGGCCCATATTTTTTTATTCTCACTTTAATGAATAACCCTGAAGATGTTCATTATTATTATAGAGCCAGCAAATTCCATAGCGCTGTAAAATGGGATGTCTTTAAACCTCCAATATGGTTTCTAAAAACTATATAACATGATGCAAATAATCAGATTTCAAACCTGTATCCTGAGAAAATGTCCAAATGTTGGAATACAATTCAAATAATGTGAAAATATTGAAATTGCAATTCTCAAATATAAAAGAGACAATGCATTTCTGTCTTTAGGGGGCACTGCAGGGAAAAAAAAATTCTGTTACTTTTGCCTATATGCTTCATCTTTTTGGTATAGCTGGTGGAATTGTTTCTGTCTTCTCAGTTAAAGGACCACTCTAGGCACCCAGATCACTTCAGCTTAGTGAAGTGGTCTGGGTGCCATGTCCTTCTAGGGTTAACCCATTTTTTTTTTTATAAACATAGCAGTTTCAGAAAAACTGCTATGTTTATGAATGGGTTAAGCCTTCCCCCAAATCCTCTAGTGGCTGTCTCACTGACAGCTGCTAGAGGCGCTTGCGTGCTTCTCACTGTGAATCACAGTGAGAACACGCAAGCGTCCATAGGAAAGCATTGATAATGCTTTCCTATGCGACCGGCTGAATGCACGCGCATTCAGCCGACGGGGAGGAGAGGAGGAGGATCGGAGGAGGAAAGCTCCCCGCTCAGCGCTGGAAAAAGGTAAGTTTTTACCCCTTTCCAGAGCCGGGGGGGGATACCAACAGCTACCATTTGAAAATATTACCACAGTATTTTCTTCTGAGAAATAAAAACAACAACCTAATTTGCAAATACAGGCAAAATAAATTTGACTTTCTGAATACTTATCTAGTAAATTTAAACTGGTTACTGAATACGTTTAATACAAGCATCATAATATTTTACACACATTGCATTTTATGTCCCCAGTGTGAGAACATAACTTCAGTCCCTAAAAGAATATTTGTTTTTCTCATAGCTTTAAAATTTCTGCTCTAGACGAGGGTCTCTCTAACTTAAAAGGGTATTCCAGACGTGGATCCCTTGCACACTGTACCTAGTGGGGTTTCAGCTACACTCGCTGATGAGGCACAAAGGAGGCTGAAATCGATCATCTAGGATTCTGGGGGCATTTTGGATCTAGACTGCCCTTGCAGGTGGGAGAATTCTAAAAGGGAACTAGCTATGGTCCTCTCTGTAATGGCTCAAGTGAGCTGGAATCTGTATGAGACCCAAGACCCGTTCATGTTCTCATAAAATTCTGTTTTTGGCCATGAACACAAAATAAAATCAGTTTTAGTGCTTGGAACAAAATTGTCCAGAATAGCAAAGTAATAAAAAGGAATGCATTCCTCATAATGTACACAAGGCAATTTCCTGGATCAGTGTTTCAGCTTATTCAGTTAGTATGTGCCATGAAGTTATTTTCCAGTTGTCTCATTACTGGGCTGTACTGTGACAAACATTTCCTACCTGCAATAACCCTTTTGCCATGAGGTAGTTGTACTTCTCATATTAGTCCTCAGGTGTTATTCCATTTTATACTTCTATTCCATTTGGAATAAAGCAGAGTATTCCATAAAAAGTGATTGTTTTGGAAAGAACGGATTTATAGAAAGCACCACTGCTGTGAGTGACTAGAGGGCATGAGGTCAACATATATAACCAACTCACGTGATGTACAAATTAATGTGCTACTCCAAGCAAAATACACACATTTTACACGGGTAACGTTGTATAAGGATTTCTCCTTCCCTTCATTCTATTCAGAAAAGCTGCACCAATTTGTA